TAATTAGAGTTGTAATAAGAGTTTCTGAATAATATTTGATGTTACAAAAATTTACAAAAGAACGTTATTATAATAATAGGCTTTCACCCAAACGCCCTGTAAAAGAAAAAAAAATATTAAATACATAAATTTTGGACATGAAATTAGAATTTATTTTTATTCTAAATTTTAATATATTTTAGTTTTTAAATTTTAAAAATAAATAGTTATAATTCTTTTGATCTAACAAAGTTAAAGTTTTTTAGGGATTAAATGATGTTACAGGTTAATGTTATTTAAGTTAGAACCTGTCATATAAACATCGTAAATATTAACTTAAAATTTCATTCATTTTACAGTAAAAAAGTTTAATATAAATGAGTTAGGAGAATTATATTTATTTACTTTTAAGTTTAAAAATTAAACTGTATCAAAATTTTGGAAAAAAATAAATTTTAATTTTAAAATAAAAATTTAAAAATTAAAAATATATTTAACCAAAAGAAAATCTCACCATTACCATTAGCCACACTTGAAAAATAGATCACAAGCTTTGAAGTAAAGAATCCTATTAGTTTAATTGAAATAATTTTTTTATTGTCATCTAATCATGTCCTAATGTCTTTTGATAAAATTAACAATATTCAGGTATGAAAACTCAAGCTTCACTTTGATTATATTATTTTATTTTATTAATTTAATATATTTTATTTTATCAACTTTTCAAGCCGACTTCTTCCAGACGGAATTACTAGAGGTCCAGTTCCTCCGAACTCGTAAAGAACGTTACTGACAAAACAGTACCATTTTCAATTTTTTTAAAATTGTGAACTGCAAAATCATAATAGGGAAACAAAAAGCCATGGATTTGAACAACTATCAAATAATGTAGAATGACTATTTTGAAAATTTCTTCTAAGGGTTTCTTTTCTCAAACATAAGTTGATCATGATGGAATTATCACTTAAGACTATTGTGGAAAGTAAGCAACAAAAATTAAAAATAAAGTTAAGAATTTGGTTGTTTTAATATTAAATATATGTTATTTATAAATAGTTTTGTTATAAACGAGTTTCATTATTTTAACACGTATCATGTCTCTATAAACTACTTTTCTAGAGTTCTCTACCTTCTCTCTAAGTGTTCTTGTTCCTAAGTAATTTGTTTGACGATTAGGTGCTTAAACGATCACGACGACAATGTATACAAATTTAACTAATTAATTTCTATTTTAGAGCAGATAAGTTTCTACTTATTTTTACCTTTTTCCTCTTGTTCATGATCATGCATGGAATCCATTTTGCATGTATCATTTAACATTTTTTTCTTGTTCTTAGTGAATTTAGAGTTTTAAGGACTCTGTCCGTTTTCAATTTGGTGATTCGTAGGTGTTTCTAGAAATTTCTTGTGAGAGAAGTAATCAGGGTGTTTTTAAAGCTTTGATCGTCGCTATAAGGTAAGGGAAGTTAATTTTACTTGATTTTGTTTGATAGACGAATTTTAAGTTAAGTTTGTATGGTGAATTATTGATTGAGTTTTGAAAATGTATTTGATTGAGAAATTTAGTATGTGTATTCTGTTCACATGAACTTTGAGACATTTTCTGTATATTGGTAATAAATTATATTTAACTACCTATTTAACAATAATACTATATTTAATTAATAAAAATAAAAATAAATAAAATTTTAAATCTGTTTATAAACTGTACAGTAATAAATATGAAGTTTAATATGTTATAATTTTATAATATGATAATAATTTAATATGTTGTAATTTTATTTATGTAATAGTTTAACATGTTTATTGTATTGAAAATAAATATATTTTCAAAAAAACAAATCTNTTATTATTATACTCATCAATCTGAATGTGTAAAAGTGATTGAGAAAGAAGAGAGTATTACACTTGTGAGAAACAGAAAGTTCTTGGATCTTACCATGAAGTAACCGATCAAGAAAGCATAAATGGATATTTCTGTAGCATAGTTCTTGTGTATTACTATGCTCCAAATTCAACTGACTAGGCTACAGAATGCTCCACCTGCCACTCCACTGAGGAAACAAAAGGAGGCAGTGAGATCCAAATCTATCAGTTCTTCCAAACCAACCCTATTGAAAATGTCCCAAGTGTCAGAAGATGCCTGCACAAACCCCTTGTTATAAACTCCAACATGCACCAGACCCCATCTATTCCCATAGCTCACAAGAAGAGATGCAATCCCCATATAACAACTAACACATGAAAACATGAATTCACCACTGTCTCCTCCAATCAGACTTGTTGACCTTGCAAAACCCCTGAAGAGTGAGATAAAGGGTACAAGGATGGAGCCAATGGAAACACTTCCAGTTAGGTACTTTACTGTGTCATTCAATGCCACTTTGGTGTCCATGATTACTCCACCAGCTAAGTGCATATACTTCACTCTTGAAATGGTGACTTGTAACACGTTCTTCAGAAACTGCAAGGTCCATCCCAGGCTCAGCAGAATAACCAAGATGAAAAGGACAGCTAGTTCGGTTCTTTCAATTGCTCTAGCTCCACCAATTCCACACACCATAAAACTGCAATAAAGAATACCAATGAGGATTGATGAAAATGCCAACCTCATGCTTTGGATAGGAGGATCAGCTATTGAAACTGACAACACTCTGCTGGCGTATTCGAATCTTGGACTAACCCAAATACCATACAGAGATTGAATTACTGCAGAAACCAAAGCAACTACACCAGCTGCAAGACTTGCTGCATATCCCATGTACACAAACAGAATCCCCATTGCACATGTAAGAAGGGGACTCAGCCAAAATGCTTCTCTAATAGCTTTTACAGGATTCCTAGCAGTGATCCATTGCCATGTGAAACCAATAGCTCCACCACATAATATTGATATGAAGAGTGGAGGGTACCACTCTTTTGGGTGGAAATAGTAGCTGCGAGAGGCATAGAACATGCCATAGATGGCGAGGGAAGTAACCAAAACTGCAATTAGAAACAAGTGAAGGTAAAAAAGAATCTTGAAGACCTTCCTTGCCGGTGTTGTGTTTGTAAACTGCTCAAGAAAAAAAAATGCAGAGTTGATAATCAGTCAAGAAAACACGAGAATGTGTCTGGGAAGAAAGTAAGCTTGATGAAGGAGAAAAATTTGACAAAAGGGTGACAAAAGATCGAAACAGAATTGAATATGGGAAAGAAAAACTAAACCTTGACAGCGTTTGTGGACGAAAGCCAGTCCTGTTCAGCTTGAATTTTCTCTTCATCTGCGACCGTGATCACGTCAAGCTTCAAAATTGTCATGGTGTTTTTGTGTTATTATTAAGTGCACTTTGCATTTCATGCAGGGTTTTCTTGGTATTTTCCTTCGGTTTCTTGCTGCCAATGATGAAAATTTCTTCAGATATAACTCTCAATGAAAAAAACTCTTGCAACCAGATAGTTTATTTATCAGTGTTTCTTTCAAACNCACGAGAATATACTCGTTGGATGAAGCCACAGAGAGCTCACTAACTTGGTAATGACTGTGGATTCTAGTGTTTATTTCGCTAGGCGAGCTATAAGGTCGTTGAGCGAGTGGTCTTTTAGGCACTACTCACTGAGCGAGTAGATATCCTCGATGAGGAAATTACAGAGCTTGATTCAATTTTATATGTTCTATTATGGTATGTTTAATGGGTGATTTTGTAAGTATTTATCTCAGAATGGTTAGTATTAATTCAAGGAGGATTGATTATGGTTTTGTTAGTGTATGCATTGACATATGGAAGGTCGTTAAGAAGGTATCTTGACTCTAATAACTATTCACACTCAAATAGAGTAGATAGAGTTATGTGGTCAGAGTCGTAAGAGGTCATAGCCACTGAACTATTTTGTCCTAGGCACGAATGAGACTAACTTTGTAAGTAGTAAGTTGGTAACCTTTTTACTTTTATGACTCTGCAAAATATAAATACTACTACAAGTGCACACTTATACTGAAGTCCAATGTCAAAGACATATATCCGAATGGTCTAGTGTCAATTGTTTTTGTGAATATATGAATGAAATATTGTATTTTATATATGTTTAGTTCATATATATGACATACTTAAAATAATTTAGGAAAATATTTTTTTTCACTAATTTATCGTATATTCTTTTGTGTTTTGTTGTTCTATAATCACTCCACAATATGAATAGATAAGGAGATAGATGATGATACGAGACGGAAATGAGTAGTTCATAGTTTTCTTATATATTTTGTATAGAGTTGTTTTTGTTTTGAAAAACTCAAATCAACTATATATATATTATTATATTATATTGAATAAATATAAATAAATAAGCATATTAAATTTCATTAGATCAAGTGAGAAAAAAAAAGTAAATGACTTGCACGTAACATATTCTGTTTCGTATAGGATCTAACGTCTTCAAGCAGATCTGCACAAATAAGAAATACCAGTTATACAAGAGATTTTATTATAAGAATAATTTTCTAGCACAACTTTTATATTGTGGAAGCTCGATTAATTTATGTTCTCTTTCTCCAAAAGTACTGTAAAGGATTTACTTAAAGATTTTCATATTTTTAATAATTAAACCTAACTTCAGGAAAATGGTGATGATTGGCTTTAATATTTTCCCAGAAAAAATGAGTTAAAAAGTAATTAAGATTAAATATGTTTTTAGTCCCTAAACTATTGGCCATTTCTGGTTTTCGTCTCTCTTCCAAAGTAAGGTACACTTTAGTCCTCATACTTTTCGAAACTTTGGTTTTAGTCCTCCAAAACTAACACCGTGAAAAATATGCTGACGTGGCTAACGGTAGACTGACACAGTTTTTTTTTTTTTCAGAGTTTATCAGCTTTTCTTCCTTTCTCTCTCCCTCGTCTCTTCCTTCAATTTCAAAACACAAAACAATTCAGGAATCCTGTACCCAAACCCTCACAGATGCATCTCGAGCGAGACCAGCGGAAGCAATTTTGTTCTCTGTGGGGTGACAAGTAACAGATATTACAGTATCTGTATGGCCTTCAAGTCACCTGATGGATTTTCACGTACCTTCAATCAAGAAAACGAATGGTATCAAATTTCTCATTATGGTTCTGATTCTGAGTATTCTTCACGTTAATGCAAGCAAAATGCTTATTAACATGTAATGTAACCTGGGAAGCCTTCACGAAGTGATGTGCTTTCTGAAGTGTAGATCCCTAATCTTCACTCAAATCACATGAAAGGATTGCTTGTATGGCTAATGCTGCATCCCACAGTTGAGACCCAAAACTCTGCAATTTTTTCAGTGCATTAACATGGTGCATTGTGTGGCTAACAGTAAATTTTACACTTTTCAGATTTTGATTATTCACAAAAGTTTTGTCCAAACAAATCCATGTAATTTGTACTGATGCTAACCTGAATTTTCAAGCCATCTTCTGCAAGCCAGAAGTAATCAGGGATTCTGGCTAAATGAAGTTTGTATGCCTCTGAGTTGGGTAGTAGAGATCCTCCTGAAATTTCGTATTTATTAGAGTTTAATTCATACCAACATCAAACAGTTTCCTTAATAAAGACAGAACATCACTAAAAGTAACTAAAAAATTGCATCTAAAACAAAACCTTGGCAACCCTGCTACGGCATTTATTCCAATCGATTTGACCATAATTCTGGTTGTACATTTCTTCTCTTAGTGATATGATTAAGTTGGTAATAGGACCCACAAACTTCTTCCCATACAAATATGACATGGGCATGTAAACTAAGCGACAGTAGCATAACATTTTTCCTGTATAACATTTGCAAAGAACTTCAATAAGCAAATAATTGTAGATATAAAAGAAGCATCTTTCGTCACCCTTTCCCTTCCCTGATTAAATTATACGATTATGAGGCAAGGTAGTAAACCTGGATGAATTGGGGTGTATTTGGGCAAAAGCCATATTTCTGGTGGGAGAGGGTTACATCCTGACCACTCATAAACTCCAAGGACCTGCATAATTCAAAATATACGTTTGTTCAAGATGTTACATACTTGTCAGTGACTACAACTAAGCCAGAAACGTAACATGCATAGAAGCAATTTGAATAGTCAACACATCCATTTTTATGACGAATTTTGCACATCTAAATTGGTGAATTTGACAATACATATATCTACTAACATTTGATTAAAGTGCATTATTGCAAATTAGAACATAAGTCAACTGCAAGACAGATTGCCATGAGCTAAAACAGTAGTACGTACCATGCAAAATGGAAGCTATGCTCCCCTGACTGTGATAATCATATACCATGAGTTTCTCATCTTTGGAATAATAATATGCCTTGAGCTCAACAACATTCTCATGCTTAAGACTTCCAACAATCTCCATGTGCTGCTGGAGAAAAAATTAGAAGCAGAAAAATATGATTCAGTGACTTGAAGGCCATACAGATACTGTAATATCTGTTACTTGTCACCCCACAGAGAACAAAATTGCTTCCGCTGGTCTCGCTCGAGATGCAACTGTGAGGGTTTGGGTACAGGATTCCTGAATTGTTTTGTGTTTTGAAATTGAAGGAAGAGACGAGGGAGAGAGAAAGGAAGAAAAGCTGATAAACTCTGAAAAAAAAAGAACTGTGTCAGTCTATCGTTAGCCACGTCAGCATATTTTTCACGGTGTTAGTTTTGGAGGACTAAAACCAAAGTTTCGAAAAGTACGAGGACTAAAGTGTACCTTACTTTGGAAGAGGGACGAAAACCAGAAATGGCCAATAGTTTAGGGACTAAAAACATATTTAACCCTAACCCTAATATGAGCAACTTACTCTGAACTAAATAGCAATATATAGAGTTTACTCCCATTATAATTTATGAACATAGAATGCAATTATAAATAGTTATGCAACTTTTAAAATAATTAAGAAACAACATATTATGAACTTAATTTGCAACTGGGTCAAGAATTTTTCTAATTAAATATAAATAACTTTTGCATAAAATCATTAGATAAGAAAAGTAATTTATTCAGTACACATAATGATATAAAAATAAGAATAATAATTTATTTAAAATTTGAAAAGATGACACTATTAAAATTAGTGGAAGAAGTCTTACAACCTCTTCCATCTTCCTTTCCAACTTTTATCATTATCATTAGGTCAAACTTATTTCCTCCATAATCTTTATTTTTTAACTTTTAACCTAATTCAGAAACAACATATTCACATTTATGAATTTAATTTGCAACTGGGTCAAGAAATTTTCTAATGTTGACTTCATATAGGAAGTCAGGGCATGATGGTAAATATCTTTGTTTCTTGCCTTGGTAAATACTTTTTATTTTTTTTCAGAATCTTACTCTTAGATGTACATATATCTGCTGAATTTTTCTAACATTGTATTGTGTCCTTGTGAACATCTAAAATGAAACTTTTCATTAATACAATGGCCAGTATCTGCTTAAACTTCCTCAACTTATTCTTGATTAGGTTGACTTCATTTATCTTTGGAATGAAGATGATTATTACTTATATGCTTCCTGGAAAAGAGGGTCATAGTTTATTGATTTCATTCAGGAAAGAATTGTATGAACTTATGTTATGTGAATGAAAGAAAATGCCATATAGGAAAATTACACTATTGACTACATCAAAATTAAACCTTTATGTACATTGTGAAAATCATTTCCAGTGCTGTAATATGGGATCAGCAAATTCATCTTGGATTAATGTACTGATATACCCTGATGTATTTATACTGTTCGTTCAGCATTTCATCAAATCTGAACATTATTAGCTCAATGTTATCTACGGATGCGATCTATAAAGCTGCTCCAAGCGTACAGGGATGGTGGAGTCAAATTTAGTGCTCTGTGGATTCTCTGCGTAGGCAACATAGTAAGCTGAGACACATGCTTGTGGCCATGACATTGCTAACCTAAACTGCATAAGAGAGGCCATGCCAAAGATAAGATTATTATTATACTCATCAATCTGAATGTGTAAAAGTGATTGAGAAAGAAGAGAGTATTACACTTGTGAGAAACAGAAAGTTCTTGGATCTTACCATGAAGTAACCGATCAAGAAAGCATAAATGGATATTTCTGTAGCATAGTTCTTGTGTATTACTATGCTCCAAATTCCACTGACTAGGCTACAGAATGCTCCACCTGCCACTCCACTGAGGAAACAAAAGGAGGCAGTGAGATCCAAATCTATCAGTTCTTCCAAACCAACCCTATTGAAAATGTCCCAAGTGTCAGAAGATGCCTGCACAAACCCCTTGTTATAAACTCCAACATGCACCAGACCCCATCTATTCCCATAGCTCACAAGAAGAGATGCAATCCCCATATAACAACTAACACATGAAAACATGAATTCACCACTGTCTCCTCCAATCAGACTTGTTGACCTTGCAAAACCCCTGAAGAGTGAGATAAAGGGTACAAGGATGGAGCCAATGGAAACACTTCCAGTTAGGTACTTTACTGTGTCATTCAATGCCACTTTGGTGTCCATGATTACTCCACCAGCTAAGTGCATATACTTCACTCTTGAAATGGTGACTTGTAACACGTTCTTCAGAAACTGCAAGGTCCATCCCAGGCTCAGCAGAATTACCAAGATGAAAAGGACAGCTAGTTCGGTTCTTTCAATTGCTCTAGCTCCACCAATTCCACACACCATAAAACTGCAATAAAGAATACCAATGAGGATTGATGAAAATGCCAACCTCATGCTTTGGCTAGGAGGATCAGCTATTGAAGCTGACAACACTCTGCTGGCGTATTCGAATCTTGGACTAACCCAAATACCATACAGAGATTGAATTACTGCAGAAACCAAAGCAACTACACCAGCTGCAAGACTTGCTGCATATCCCATGTACACAAACAGAATCCCCATTGCACATGTAAGAAGGGGACTCAGCCAAAATGCTTCTCTAATAGCTTTTGCAGGATTCCTAGCAGTGATCCATTGCCATGTGAAACCAATAGCTCCACCACATAATATTGATATGAAGAGTGGAGGGTACCACTCTTTTGGGTGGAAATAGTTGCTGCGAGAGGCATAGAACATGCCATAGATGGCGAGGGAAGTAACCAAAACTGCAATTAGAAACAAGTGAAGGTAAAAAAGAATCTTGAAGACCTTCCTTGCCGGTGTTGTGTTTGTAAACTGCTCAAGAAAAAAAAATGCAGAGTTGATAATCAGTCAAGAAAACACGAGAATGTGTCTGGGAAGAAAGTAAGCTTGATGAAGGAGAAAAATTTGACAAAAGGGTGACAAAAGATCGAAACAGAATTGAATATGGGAAAGAAAAACTAAACCTTGACAGCGTTTGTGGACGAAAGCCAGTCCTGTTCAGCTTGAATTTTCTCTTCATCTGCGACCGTGATCACGTCAAGCTTCAAAATTGTCATGGTGTTTTTGTGTTATTATTAAGTGCACTTTGCATTTCATGCAGGGTTTTCTTGGTATTTTCCTTCGGTTTCTTGCTGCCAATGATGAAAATTTCTTCAGATATTACTCTCAATGAAAAAAACTCTTGCAACCAGATAGTTTATTTATTAGTGTTTCTTTCAAAGAAGAGTTGCTTTTTCCATCTTTTTTAATTGACATTTTCTTTTGCTTTCTCAGATTCTATTTGTTTCGTCTCTGATTAATAAATTCAGTTTCCCTTTATCTTAAATTTAAATTTCTTAGACACTGTATGAAATTTAAATAAAACAACACAATAAATATATATATTAAATTTAAAATTAATGCTGCGTTTGCAAATTAATAATTACCAATTAGAATTATTAACTATTAACTTAATAAAATAAAATAATATAATAAAAATGCGAGCAACAAAAACCTATTTATGTACGTGTTTTCGTTAGTATTATAATGGATATTATTTTATAAGTTTCTCAAATATAATTCTTAAAAATAGAAAACTAATTTTTTCTAATTTTTTGTTTTTATTTCGTACGTTTAAATTTATAACAAGATTAATTGTATTTTTTTTTAGAGAAATTGATAGAGAATTTCTTTAATCTATTTGTTCGCATCATAAAGCATTTTCGGAAAAAAAAAATTGAAGCTTGAAAAGTGAGATAAGCATGAATATCTTTAAGGTAGTTCTTATCCACTGGTTGATTTGTTCCAGAGACGTAGTTGTTTTGTAGATATTGAGCAACTTTTGCATGCAAAATAACATTTATTTCTACTTATTGAGGGAAACAATAAATTCATGGAAAATTTGAGAATCTTGAATCGCCTTTTGCTTATTAATTATTATTTTTACTGGGCTTGGTTCAATTGCGAAATGCAATATGAAATTTTCAAGACTTAAGTTGGTGTTCTTTTGAGATATTAATCCAAGTTCATTGACAATGAAATTTTTTAACGTATTAATTTGAATTTATTGACCGAGATAAAAGAGGAGAGGAGATTCACCAGTAATAACTTAGGTTTGTAATAAAATAATAAATAGTATTGACTAGTGTGATAATATGATGTGTAAGTCTCACAAGCATTTTCAGCAGAAAAACTTTTTTTTAATAACTTTTCTTGAAAACATTTTGACAATTCTCTAATTGGCATCTTTTTATTAATGCATTTAAAATATTTTTAGAAAAAATATTTAAAATGAACGATTAAATTTTTTATATGCATTAAAAAGTTGTTAATTTTAGTTGTTAAAATATCATCATTCTTCTCACAAAGATCTTTTGTGTTTACTATCAATGATAGAATTGGTTCATTGGTCGTCGGAAGGTTGGTGGGGTGTTCATCAATCGTGGTGGTGGGTCATTGTCGGAGTGCTAGTGAGGGAGTTGCAAGCAAGTCGCGGCTACTGTCGTGATTGTTGGCTACTGTTAGGCGTTGGTTGGTTGTCTAACCAATGGTTGAGCTGTTGTTGGTTAAAAGACGGCCGACAAGTTAGAGTACATAAAAAAGGTTTAAACAAGAGAGATAAAAAAAAAAATCAAGAGAAGAGAGAAGAGAGAGATAAGGATGAGAGAGACGTGAGTAAGGATTATTAGATTTCTTGTTTTTTTAATTTTAAAACTTAAAGTTATTTTAATATTTTTAAACTTTAAACTAAAATTTGGTATAAAGTACAAGCACCTCTCTAATAATCATATATACATTTGTCATCGTAATTAATGATCCAACCAGTGCATGTAAAAATACAAAAACATCTTTTATATATAATGCGGCTAGTCGTAGAGAAAAAGAGAAATCATAATTTTTAACACCAAATAACCTATTCACAAACCTATTTTATAATCATATATATATATAATATAATATAATATATTTAATTTATACAAAGTTGTCATGAGTAAGTCAGAAAAGAACATGTTATCTTCATAGTTAATATATGACCTATTTTATAATCATGATCCGCAATGAATCTAATATTTATTAATCATTCTTAATATTTATTAGTTAATAATTCATAATTTTTACTTATTTAATATTTACTATTTTACTATTCAAAATATTTTTAGGAATTCTAACCCATTACAAATAATTGTTATAACTATCCGTTGCAATTTCAGTTCAACACAGTTTCAAAAACATGATATAAAATAATAGAATTGTAAAAGCTACCATGCATTCTAAATTTATTATTATTTATTAAGTAATATTTATTACTTGATAATATTTAATTATTTAATATTTAGTATTCAAAACATTCAAGAATTTTAGCGTATAATAAAGGAATTTTGTATCAATTCAGGAATGTGTCACCGCCAAAGTTCCAAAAAAGTATTAAGTTTTCCAGAAAGACCGTCATCCACTGAAAAGTGTTAACTGCATTCTTAGTATATAAGTAATCACTGATCATACAACACAAACTTATATTGCAAAAAATCAATCAAGTAATTAAGCAAGAAATAAATCAAAGAACATGTAGTTTAATGTCTTCAGTGATCACAACATCAAATTGTGAACACATAATATATAAGCCAACAATTTATTTTTACATTAATTTATTTGTACAGTAATAAATTTCAACCTAAGATACAATATTTTCAAACTAAATTTATTGAACAGAAGTTTAATTAGAATACTTTAATTAAATAGGTAAAAAGTAAATAATCTAAAAGAGACCATGAAACTACACACAACGGTTAATTAATATATAAACACACTTAACACAACATTGACCAGACCACAACCTTAGAGAAGATCCGGCGAGCAAGCCCATTCTTTTGCTCTAACATAGTTTTCATCAAGTGCTCAGTCTCCACAATCTGATGCTTGTTCTCCTTAGCGACTTCTGGTGCAGTGATAATTGCTTGCCATGCCATATCTGTGAATTCTTGTGGTGTAATCTGTCATTGCATCAAAACCCAATATCAATCACTACACCTCTGAAACTCCAATTAGACCCCATCAATATCATAAGTGACCCAAAATCTCAAACAATTCAAATTGTCACAATTGAAATGAATCCAGTTCAGCCTAGTTAAGCCAAACTTGACTTGCATGAGCTAATATCAAGCTTTGGTTAAACTCCAACCAATGACTTAAATTTAACACAATAATGTACTTTACATATGTTTAGTTAAAAGTAATTTAGTATTATTTTGATACCAACAAGACCAAGAATAAACTTAACATTAACATATTTAGGTTTAAACTCCTTTTTCATTCCTGCAAATATACACGTTTTTTCTTTTAATCAGGCGTTACGAAATGCTTGTGTAACAATACCAAATGGTCTCAGATAAGACCAATGACAGAGACAAAGAAAAAGATCTGAACGTTTCAAGGATCATAAAAAAAAATTTACACGAACTAAAAAAAAAATTTGCATGTGGTTAAGGTATCTGGGTCCTGTATTAAATAAATTGCTCTCATAGCATGTAATAAGAAAAAAATTTGTACAAGACCCATATTTTAGAAAACACTAGAAGAATACAAAACATTACATAAACATTCCTCAATTCATTCAAAGATTGATAGACAAATAATACAATTTGTTTCAGGGTCGAGTAACTCGAGAGACGTTCTTCACATTTTCTCCTGGTCGGAGATACTTGCCAAAGGTACTATGTTGCTTAAGTTAGTAATTAATCCGGACGAGGTCAGAGGTAAATCTCAAATTCACAATAAATAGGATCATATATCTCTTACTTTTGACTTTTATTTATAGTTTTTGAGATGAACCTAAGATTAGTAGAACCTTAATCACGACCCAATCTCAGCTCATTACACTAATTGATACTTACCCTTAACCTTGATTCTTAGTGTCTCTTAAGAAGTACCTTACTGCTGAAACCGCTAGTATGTCCTCTACCGAGCTGGATGGCCTTTGTCCTTGTCTTGTTCGAATTTTAAACATGCAAGGCCTTGTCTTGTTCGAATTTGGGAGTTTAAACATTCGAGGCTGACAGCTCCTCTTTCGTACGGTCATACGATACACACTTCAATTAAATACAACATATTAAACTCAAATAAAATTAAAATAAAGCAATCTTAAATCCAAAGGGCTTAAACAAGGAGTTTCCTCAATTCCCTCAAGGGTAATGATAGGTTTGGCATTTTATATAGCAGAAGAAGAAAAATGAGTCTATAAGTCTATTGGGACAGTTCTGTGTATAACTGCAACAGACATTAAAAATAGTCTGTTTTTTTAGGAGTGGGATTATGTTGTTTTTCCTAGTTGGATGGAATAAGCAGTGGAGGGAGAGGTCTCTGAAACACCTCAATTGGAATTTATTTGCGTGGGATTATGTTGTTTTTCCTAGTTGGATGGAATAAGCAGTGGAGGGCGAGGTCTCTCGAAACACCTCAATTGAAATTGATTGTTTGGTCTAATCTCCTAAACTGGTAGGAGATAGGATGACAAAGGCAGAAGAGGAATAAACATACAGTTTATACAGCTGGGTATTTTTAATAGTATAATATTTACATAAATATTAAGCTCAAACAATCATAGATAAGGGAGAGAATTTGGAGATAAGTAAATAAATATTTATTATAAGACAAAGGTATGGTAAAGCTTTACAACGACTAGTAGTATCCATAACAGATATATTAAAGAACTGCAAGCTTATTTTGATCAAAAGCGCACTTGAAGTGCCTTTGTTTGCAAAATTATATTTATTTATTTATTATCTGGTACGAGGAATTAAGCTGATCAGGGATCATCATAACTACGTGGCACCAAGTGCGTCTGCACCTTTCTACGGCAATTGGGCTGGTTGAATGTTCCATATCTCTCGAGCATATTCATGAATCGTACGGTCACTGCTAAACTTGTATGAGCCTGCTGTGTTCAATATTGACATTCTTGTCCATTTCTGCATCCACATCATTTACAAAAGTTAATATTAAAAATAATATGAGAGCAATAAGCACAATGTATGAAGGAACAGAGCAACAATGGACGACAGAGCTATACCAACTGAATACAATTGATAATACATTTCATGATGATAGGTTTAGAGGCAAGGTTTATACTAGGAGAAATAAAGGAAGGAGGTAGTTATAACCTCCTGCTGTTGTATTTGTATGACAGACTATTATATACAGTCTATGTTTAGGTTATTGTAGGGAGTTTTTTTGTTGTTTTGAAAAAGGAAATTAGGAGAGAAAGTTCCTCTTGAAAGACCTTGGGTTTGTGTGTACATTGCTGTTACCTGTTCTTACTACATTGGTAGAAGAGTTTGTTCATTATAAATCAGACAAGAACTGTGTTGTATTTCCCTGTATTTCTCAAATGGCATAATAGAACATGTAAATAAGTGAAAATACCAACACCTTCTAACAAACTGTGCTAGTGGTTAAAATTTGTCTGAACTGCATATTCATGACTAAACTCATTAAATATAAAGTTGAACACAAAAATTGGTTGATTCAAAAGAGTGTGTTGTGCTAGCTTTCTCGTCAAACATGCCCTAACAATGAACAAGGACTTGGTGCATACATCCAATAGGCAAGCAGGTGAAACGAACATTTAATAGCAAATACGAAGAAAGTCTACTCAAACTCACTTTTTGGTCTCTGTATGCTTCATCAACCTTCTCTTGGCATTCTATGTAGCTGGGGAAGTCCTTGCCCACAAGGAAATAATCTGCTCGACCAAAACCTTCATTTCCCTCTAAGGACCCAATCAATTCGTCATAGTTGTAAGATCCAAAAACACCACTTCTGACAAATTCTTTGACCTCTTCAAATCGTGGATCCGCGACGAACTGAATTGAATAAAACATTGCAGGTTAACATTCAATCATCTAAGTTTTTAAGAAACCCAAGACCGACATTTCCTCATACAACTATCTTTGTTCAAAATTCCTGTAACCTTAGTATGAATTTCTTTAAGCAACAATTAGCATTTGAAACTAACATACAGTGGAATACTTGTTGTTGTGGGTATGATCCAAACACATGGTATTAACTATGTTCCATAGTAATTAAAATGTAAACAAGGGTCCTTAAGACAAACCTTCCCTCTGCTCTTTCTTCCTCAGCCCAGCAATTTCATGAGCCTCGGCACCAAAGAGGAAGAAGTTATCTGCACCAACCTCTTCCCTAATTTCAACGTTGGCCCCGTCTAAAGTTCCAATCAATATGCAGCCATTCATTGCAAATTTCATGTTGCTGGTTCCACTTGCTTCCATTCCAGCAGTACTACACGAGAGAAACAAGGAACACAGATTAGTGTATATCTGTTTGACCTGTATCCTATTTCACAATGCACATTGAATGCCAAGCTCGCTCTCACATGTCATTGGTGCTTAGTATGACTGAATGGATTTCCAAACATAGTATTAATTTGCAAAGTTGCATTCCAAGCAATAACGCATAGATCAATGACACCTTGGTTATGAAGAGGAGTTGGAGAGGTGACAATCATACAGTTGATCATTTGGCTATGAAGACTTACATTACATTTCAAGAACCAATCAGCCGGAATGTTCAAGCTGTTAGCGGCAAGTACATGAATGATTGTCACATATTGATAAACATTTTACCAAAATTAAAATGGTTTCCCTAGTCCCAAATACAGATTTCCATTCACATTTAATGTACAACTATGTCCTCTTCTTTACATACTGGCAAAGGATTTTCCAAGGTCAATAAATCAGTTCTTGATTGTCAAGAAGATTTTCCAAGTCGTCCTCGTCATACAAACCTGTAAACTCAATCTAGCCCTTATAGGTTTCAATTTTTATGCAAACACTAATTTAAACAAGTTTAGGTTCTTAATTTTGTATTATTCTCTAATCTTAGTTTTGTTGCCTGAGATTTTAGAAGCTAATCTCAATCTATATAGGAAAGCTGTCAGGAAATTGCCAGTACTTCTCCGACACGTTCCCATAAAACACCAGTAATTCAAGGGATGAAGCTTTGTACATTGAGATTCTACAGCATCTTGCTTTCACATTGTGAAGATGCCATATATGTCAAGATAGACATTATTGATAGAATCAAATAGCAATTGGGAAAAGATATAGGGATTCCAAAAAAGATTACAGAAAAGATACAAAATTTTATTGAGATCATTTCTCCATATCAACATGACCCAGGAGAAAATGATGTACATCCTAGTTAGGTAGTTAAAACTGTATTTGTATCCGCATCCTTATTTCTATTCTTCTGTCTTCTCACATAAACTTTCCTAATTAGGGATCTTGCATCAACTATCGATATCAGAGTTTTCTTGATATTTCCTACAAATCTAGGTTGCATATGTAATATGTCAGGACTCAACATAAACACCTTTCACAAATTTTCAAGTATATGTTAAATTTTCCATGCACAAAAATAAATAGCAAAATTTTTTTAATGAGAATATTAGTTTTTACATATGAATATTAGATGATTTGATGTAATGACTCAATTTTCTAATCAAGGCTATTCATATCAAAGTTTAAACTGTTGACATTTAGATCACCATTTATGTGAAATATAACTACCTGATATGTTGCGACAATTCACTTGCCGGAATAAGCATCTCAGCAACACTGACATTGTAATCAGGGACAAAAATAACCTGATTAAAAACATAGAAACACACAAATTAACAATATCTTTAACCATTTTTCAAAAATCTGATACTGAAAACTTGTAGGAAGTTAACAAAGTATGCTTGAATTCTAGAAGTTTTGTCTAGTAAGAAAGGAAATAAACTACATTTAATCAGAGACAAACTAATCTCAATAAAAAATAAAACACACAAATTAACAATATCTATAACATCCATTGCAAAACTCTGATACTGAAAACATGTAGGAATTAACAAAGTATCCAAGAATTCTAGAAGTTTTGCCTAGTAAGAAGGAAATAATAACTAACTAACAAAGTTGAGGCTTTTAAAGAAATTTGTGTAAACCATTCGTTTTCAATTGACTCCCCTCTGAGAAAATTAAATGATCTCTATAAATTAAATGAAACAAACAGAGCAATTTTCTCTTTATATTTAGAACATTAGAAAACTGATACGATGAAAATTCTTATTTTTGGATAGCCCAAAATTCAAAACAAGTTAGTATAATATGGATATCCGTACACAGCAACAGCGAGATGACCATGGACCCTATCCCATTAAAAATAACTGGCCAGTTTCACAATTTAGTCTATTAAAGGACCAAATAGTCACAATTTAGTATCTATAACTGATTAAATTGTGAAAATGGAGACTAAATAATTAGAATGGGGGAGTTGATAGAAACCTAATTCACCACTGTATAAAGGGGATTCTAAATAATCTTACTTATTGTGAATTGGCCTTTTGATATGAACTTTCCAACCGTTATTATACAACCAAAATTATCCACTAAGAGAATGCATCCAAGAGTGGAAATTTGATGATTTAATATTCAAGAAAAGTGTGTTTTCTGCCTTTTCCTTCAAGGTTAGGTTTGGTTTTTTTTTTCTTTTATATTTGCATAGTAGAATGTTTTACCGTAAGGCATTGCACAATTATATTTTCTAAAGGATGTTCATGCCAAATTATACATTAATCTTGGTTTAATGCTTCCTTTGTCCCCAGTTTGGTTGAATTGTGTCAAATTCACCTCATTTTAAAAAATTTCATTGTCATCCTCACGTGTGTAAAGTTTCATTGTCGTCCTCACGTGGTGTAAAAGGTCCAATTGAATCAAACTAGAAAAATTTGTGTCAAATAGTCATTTTTCCTATATCTCTGTGTCTTCCTTTCATACAATCAAGTACAGATATTCATTTTATCTTATCCATTTAAGGCTTTTCATAGCTCCAGAGAAGTGACATATGAAAGGAAGACACAGAGATATATGAAAAATGACTACTTTGGACACAAATTTTTTCTATGTTTGGATTCAATTGACACTTTTTATACCACGTGAGGACGACAATGACTTTTTTAAAATGAGATGAATTTGACACAATTCCAACCAAACTGGGGGACAAAGGAAGCAATAAACCTAAATCTTTCTATACAAAATGCTCACGATTTCAAATTATAAACTTAGCTTATTGCTAATAAAAGTCAAATATAGAACCTAAAAAAGATCCTGAGCCCAAGTACTGTTAAAGGAATAATGCTTCACATCTTTATTTTCAAGAATATGCCTAAGAACGGTAGGACAACATAAAACAACAAGTGAAAAAAAGAAATAGTTGTGCTCATGGGTACCTTCAGTAGATCTCCTATTTCAGGATCATGATTAACGGTTTCCCCAACATCTGTAATAAACTTCACAATTCTCTTGGCTTGCACATACGTAGCAAATGCTTTCCCCCCAAATATACAAACTCTAGGAACAAAATTTGCTTTCCTTTCAACAGGACTCATTTCTTTCATCTTCTTGTATCGGTAAACAATTCCAAGTTATGTTCAGTAGTTGTCGCTTATATTCATGGATTCTCTTTACCTAAACCAAAGTAATAAGCCAGCATTGAACAGTTTAGCAAAACTATATAAGGAAAAAACTGGTGGAATGGGTAGAAATTGAATTCACAAGTAAATAATTGTCAGCAGAACAAAAATTGATGTTAAAAAGTAACATATCAGGGAGGGAAATGAGAATAGGACATGCAGCCTATCAATGACCTACAGCCTGGCCTAATTTCGGCCTGTGTTAACCTAGACCATAAATCAAACAAGGCAAACTTGAGCATTTTAAGCAAGGGTTCATGTACATTACTTATGGTACTTGTACACTATAAGGCAAAACAGAATAATTATTTTTCTAATAATCTGCCTTGATTGATAACTAAATTACAGTAATCACAATACGACCAATGACCAATGACCAACTAGAGACAGTTACAACATTTTACACTTTCCATTCTATAGTTAAAACTTAGAGCCCAATCAAAACTGGAGTAAAAGAAAAAGAAGAAAATAACCAATCTAAAGGTATCATCTACCTGGATGTCAAACATTGCATCAGGACTGACAAAATACCCTGTTTTTTCTCTGATAAATGCCGCAACTTTAACTTTGTTACTCCTCTTTGCTTCCCTCCACTGCAGTTGTAGATCCTCATTCTCTACAAACTAGTAATGAATGATACCAGTACGATCAGGTTTTAATGACAGGAACTTGGAAACTACGTTTAAAGAATCAAGTGATGCTTTTGACATACATTTGAAACACAACTTACGCTTAATGCTAATTAACCAATTTCAGAAAATATCCATAAAATTGCAAACAAAATACCATATTGATTCCTTTAAGATCAAGAAGCAGGAGCATACCAAACTTATAATTTAGTTAATTAGAATTAAGCTAATCCTGTAATCCATAGGAATTCAGATTTAAAAACTCAACAAACCAGATAATTCATCCTGAATGGTGCATTACAAGACATGGTTTATTCCATTGAAAAAAGAAATTGGAGATCAGCAAATGCAAGAAAATTACATTTTATAGTTCAGGTAGAAGCTATCAATCCTTGTTTATAGATGGTTCTTTGGGGATAACTTTATAACTAATTATAAAATTTCAAAATTTGACACCATTTGTTTCCAAGAAGCATTAGGCTATGTGGTAGTATAAGAAGTGCAGCCAAAACTTGACGTTATAAAAAGGAAATAAACATTAAAAAAAAAGGAAAAAGCAAAGCCATGAAGGAAAAATTCAAGACTAGGATAAGATTAATAAGGCAAATAATGGTAACAACCTTCCGTAGGTCGGCCAATTTCTCTGTATTTAGGACCCAATCCTCTGTACCTATCCACTCGGTTATTATTTTACTCAGAAGCGGATTGCAAAACTTGATCCATCTCCTTGGTGTCACACCATTTGTTTTGTTTTGGAATTTCTCAGGCCACAACTACAAAGAATATAGTAGAGGTCAATTATATACACAATTTTCTTAGATCTTATCATAATCTAAGAAAACATAAAAAGATGAAGTTCTATTAAAGGTCCAGTTATTAAATACATATTTTTAGAAGTGTTAGAAGTTTATTTCAGCTTTTAATAGCAGTATGCATGGAGCAATCACTTTGAAACAGAACAAATGTGGAAATACCATTTTTTTTATAGTGCTATTATGCCCATTGGGCAAGACTAAGTTGTTTCCTCCCACTGGTCATAGATGATAAGAGTTGACTGTTAAGAGCTATTTGGTGATTTCAAATACGAAAAAGCTAACAAATTGCAGATACGGATTTAGAAACATAACTCAGCTATGGAGTTCGTCATACTGACAGACCAAGGAAAACTTTACCTTATAAAACGCATTGAAAACTTCATCTTTTACAATTTCACTATGAATCTCTGCAACCCCATTCACTGCATGACCACCCACAACACACAGATTTGCCATACGAACTTTTGGTGGTTCTGGTATCGGCACAGGCAACTCTTCTTTCTCATCCTCAATGGAACTTTCATCTGTTCCCTTCTTTTTAGCAATGGCTCCTTCCACTTCATCATTATCATCATCTTTATTTTCTTCATCATCTTTCTTTTCTTCTTCTTCTACTTGTTCAGAACTTTGCAGCTCCTCACTAGGAATATCAGTGGTCTCTTTGGACTTAACCAGTACATCTGCAAATTCTTCAGGCAATTCAACATTTTCTAGTATTCTCATTTCCTTCAATTTATTCTCCAGCAAGTCTGAATCTGCAGTGCCATATTCTGCCAATATGGTCCGAATCAGCTGCAAAGCAGGAATGTCATCAACAACTAATGCCTGTACCCTGAAAAAGAAAAACGTTTATGCATGTATTTCACTATTACCTCCTCATCAATCATTTCTATTATCTCAATATGGCGTGGAAGCAGTTTCTGCATAAGATCCAAGCTCCATTTCTCTAATGCCTCAGGAAGAACAGTATGGTTTGTATATGCTACGGTCCTGGATCACAGTGGCAGATAGTAGATATTCAGTCAACCAACTCAGATCATGCATTAACAGATGATAAAAGATTAACAGACACCTATCCATCCCACAAAAACTAAAAAAAAATATATAATACCTTTGTGTAATATTCCAAGCATCTTTCCAACTTAAACCCTTTACATCTATTAAGATTCTCATCAGCTCTGGGATGCACAAGGTTGGATGTGTATCATTCATCTGCACTGCAACCTTTTCAGGGAACTCTTCCCAATTCACATTTGCTCCTGATCTTCTCTCAAAACAAGCAATTATATCTTGAAGAGAAGCAGAACACAAAGTATATTGTTGCTTGAGACGAAGGATCTTGCCCTCTATTGATTCATCCCCAGGGTAGAGTATATAACATATCTGCATTTGAAAACAAACAAAAAA